ACTTTGTCAGCCGCCTCAGGAGGTAGCTCTGACACCAATTCTTAGAAGCAGTGGTGCCTGCAAAGACCCTGCCAAAGGTGCCGATCCCAAATAACACACCAGGGGTAATGGCCAGGAACTAGTGAAGCTGTCAGTCAGAAGCTATCTGAGGAAGTCTGAAGAAGAGAGAGAAACCGGTGAAAGAGAAAACTCCAGAAGACTTGAAGCTCTACCCAGTGCACTTGCATGAAGGAGCTCAGTCAGAACCTCTCTGCCTTTACAACCTGCAGGTGAGTTTGCAGGGCCATTACAAACACGGACTTAAGAAAAAGGAGACTGTTCTCCCTGCCTTGTCCAACAGCGGAACCTCCCTTCTCTCCTGACCCGCTTATCCACTTCAGATTTTTTTATGATAGTGCTGAAGAATTTGGTATCACAGACGGCAAATCTAAAAGGTACAAACTGACAGACTCATAGGGAAATTCCCTGCTTACTCTTATTAGAGTGTATATGTGCAATTCTCTTACTCTGGAGATTCAGAGCAAGGGAAATTCAGCTCCCATTCTTTAAGACTTGCCCAGAGAGCATAATGCTGTTTCTACAGGCACAGAGGTCTTTATTTTACTCTTTCCATTTCTTCCCAGGATTAAGTAATTCCTGCACTCAGAGCAGTTATTCTGAAAAGGGAGTCCATAAACAAACAGAATTCCAGAAACCTTTATTACTGTTATCCTCAAAAGCTAAGTAGCACGACGCCTCCCTAAGAAAGCCTCTGTGAACTTGCCATCACACACCGCAGAGCCAGCACACCGATGTTTCATTGTAAGGTGTGCACTGGAATGAAGCGCTATTCAGTCAGTCCCATTCTAGGGAGATACAGCACTTCTGGCCTGGCCCTACTTTCAAATGAAACATGAGCATAAGCAGGGATGAAATGATGTAATGGTAAGAGGCAAAACCACCACGGCTCACAGAAAGCCGGGGCAGGATGCCCACAAGAAGTGATAAAGCAAACCACTCAAATGGAAGAAGACAGGAAATACAGACAGCACAGAACCAAAAAAAAAAAAAAAAAAAGTATTAGAAAATCCCCAAACTCTACTGATAGGTCTAGAAAACTTTTATTTTTTTTTTTTTACACAAAGTGTTCCCTCTCCATATTTTTATACACATCAAGTACCAACTTCTAAGGAAAAGAAAATAGTCTAGACTCACCATCCCTTCCCCTCACCCTTAAACTGCTGTCAGACTCAAGCATTCTCATCAGAACAGCATGTGTGTTTCTTTCCCTAATGGCTCAGGCCCACACATGAGAAGCCCAGGGACACCATTATTCTATCCTTAGACATTCACTCAATGAATATTAACTGAGTGCCCGTTATGGAAAAAGCAGTGTTTTAGGTGTTATTCATTCAACAGGGAAGAAGAAGAAGAATAAGATACTGTCCCTCCTTTTGCAGCACTTACAGACTAGTTGAGGAGACTGATGATTAACAAATAACTATATAATATGTAAAGTGCTTAGAAGAAAAACACAGCAGGCTAGAGGATGGAGAGGGATGGGGTGAAGGTCAGGAAAGGTTGCTTTGATAAGGTAACTCAAAAATTCTTATGGAAGGAAGGAGAGAAGCTTAGGAATGACATACGGCTCACTGTCTCCTTGCTTAGACTATAAACAATATTTGAACACGGAGGTGGTTCATTTTAGAAAACTCAAGTTCAAAAATGGCTCCTGTTTATTTTCAAAAGTACCAGTGAATGTGTATCCTAAATTTAAACAGCTAAAGCTACAGTCTAAGGAAGGTCTCAAGCAAATACCTTTGAATTGTCATAGGGTGCCCAGGACAGTCTTGTGGAAACGGTTTCATGGTGATCAAAGATGTAACGATTCTAAGACTGTGTTCAATGTTTTAAACACAGTTGGAAATGAGGTAGTGCCAAATCACTGATTTTTAGGAGCCAAAGAAGGTAAAATAAAGGTTCAGTCGGCCTCATCTAAGGTTGATACTTTATGCAACATGAGACACTGAGAGCCAGAACCACCCCTGGAGTCATTTAACTCAACTTTCTCCTGCTGCCCATCATCAAATGAGTCCTCAGGGTGGAGAGCGCCCAGGTTCTATGGCTAACAACAGCACTGTGCCTCAAATCCAGGTTTGCCGACTCTGAGCTCAGCCTCAGCACCACTCTCTTCTTGTGCAAGATACCCTGCCTGAGAGCCAGTCTGAAACACCCTCGGGAGCAAAGGCCATCTCCTGGCAGGCAGGGGCAGATTTGAGAGGCAGTTAATCAGACGGGCAGAGGAATGAAAACTGGGAGTAAGGAGTTTGGGGTGCAGTCTGCAGGGACTGCTGAGCATGGGAACCACTACTTTCAATGGCTGCTGGGATTCTCGCTCACAGTTATACGCCCACTCCCAGATCCTGTCTATGTGCAAACACACATTCTTTGAAAATTGCCTGCCTTCTCTACTGCGATAGCTCTCCATGGCACAGGCTTTGGGGCACAGAGGACACTAGAAGCAGGGAAGATAGAAAATCAGTGTCGTAAACACGGGCCCAGGTAATGAAAGGTTACTAATAACACAATTTACTAAGAAAACTAGGAACCCCCACTGCCCTTACCAAGCAAATGCGGTTTTCAAAGAAAGTACTTAGCATGCAAAGAGTTCGCTAGAATTTGGTATTTTCTTCCTCTCTCGACACACTCCATCTACAGAAGGATTTTAAAACTCTTCAAGTCTGCCATGTGGCATCTTAAAGTGTATACTTTAGAAGTTCTTTGAAAACCTCACTTAATCTTTGAGGTCTGACAGGGTGTCACATGAACAGTTCAAAGCAACAGTTAAAACAACAACAAAAAAAAACCCACCAGATTTGAAACAAAAGCTATCTTGATTATGGTAACTGTACGAGTCATTTAAATAGAGCCTGAAACCTAAAGCAATTTTACATATGACACTTGTTTCCTAGGATGAAAACGCTGAAGAAAAAAAAAGCCACCAGAAGTGCATTCTAACAGTTACCTGATTGGGAAAATGATTTCTAGTAAAATACACCGTAACTAGAGTACCCAAATCTAACATGGCCCACAATTATTCCTTGATAGTGATAGAAACTTCTACAATAAAGTTGTGTGTGTGTGTGTGTGTGTGTGTGTGTGTGTGTGTGTGTGTTTTAAATAAGTATAATAGTGCCTTCACCATGCTCTGTCCCTTACGGGGACGACAAACCGAGATACTGACTGCTTAATAAAAAGGTAGTATGTGCTGGGGACGGTGGCTCATGCCTGTAATCCCAGCATTTTAGGAGGCAGAGGTGGGAGCATCACTTGAGCTCAGGAGTTCAAGAACAGCCTGGACAACATGGTGAAACTCTGTCTCGACCAAAAATGCAAATAATTAGCCAGGCATGGTGGTGTGCACCTGCAGCTCCAGCTACTCTGAGGGCTGACGTGGGAGGGTTGCTTGAGCTCCGGAGGCAGAGGTTGCAGTGAACCGAGATCACACCATTGTACTCCAGCCTCGGTGAGAGAGTGACACACTCGCTCAACTAAAAAAAATAAAATAAAAATAACATAATACGAAGCAAAACACAGACTTGCAAAATATCACTGTATGGGGGCTCGTGACTTGCCCAAGGTACTTGATCTCAATAGTAGGAAAAGGATTCAGGTCAGCTGATTCCAGGTTGACTGATTTTGACCAGACTCAGCATGTACAGAATGGAAACACACCAAAACTTCATTGTCTCTCGCTGTCTGCTTTCAGTGAAGCACTGGGAACATCTGAATTTAATAAGCTCAGAGGAATATTACTCATTATTTAACTCTGAGATGACATAAATACATATGCATATTTTAATACAAATGTTTAGAAATCCGTGAAACAAAGAAAAAAAATCAGGAAATTTTTTTTCCACGTGAATACTTTTCTCCCTGACATATGGTGCACTTTGCACTTTTCAAATCTTTTACACAACTGCAAAAAAAAAAAAAAAAAAAAGGTAATAAATGCTCAAAAAGGTTTTCTGGCTGAATTAACGAGAAGCTGGAAACGAAAAAATATATATCTATATACACACGCATAAGAATATACATATATGCAACAGAAATATTCATATGTATTTATATATACATGCAAACAACAAAAACCTAGAAGAAATTGTCTCATTATTTCCTAAAATTTGAAGATAGTATCTTCTCATTCTCAGAGGTGCTCACGAGCCACCCTGGGCTTCACGTGACTCTATTCTTTCCTGGTCAAACTCTGCTGACTCTGTTTTGTGAACCAGTTCAGCAACAAGGTGAACTCTCCAGAAAGTAGCAGGGCTGAGCACCCTTGCATTATTTCATAGTAGAAGAGCTCCCAGAAGTCACACTTTGTCATCTCTTCCATTACCTGATACTAAAACTTGTCATGCAAGGCAGCCCTCAGCTGACATGTGGGAACAAACTTTACTTGTCTCAAAATCCCAAGCCAGTAACCCAATCAAAACCAGTAAATCCGCGCACTGTGAATAAGAGAAGCACCAAACACAACTCGTGCTTATAACTTGCATACCTCAAGATTTTAAAAACCAGAGAGAAAAAATGTCATTTTCATCAACTGCGCATAAAGAAGAGTAATTGCTGGATGGAAATTCTGATTGCTAATCCTTAGCCTGGAGAATTTTACCCCCTACTCACCAACCTAAAAGAACTGCAATAGCCCAATTTAAAGGGCTGCTCTAAATCAGATACAATTTGATTGTACCAGTAGAAAAGGGGTCCCTACAGTGAAAGGATCACTGTATTCCATCTTTTTATTCCAGAAGTAGATAGTCTGCAGCACGCCATAGACGCTGAGAGAAGGCAAGTTCCAGCAAATACAAACAGAACCTCTTCCTTCAAAAGAAGAAATTAACTAGCCGATCACCCAGAGCTCAGGCTAATACCCCTTTAACACCTGGCTCAGTTACATCAAGTGATTCATGAATCCTGACAAGGCAAGCCACTGCAGATACTGTTTTTGGTTAACTTACAACATTCACTGCGTACTGTTCACAGGTAGCCTCAGCCTATACTTCACCATGGAGACTTCCCACAGGTGCTGGAGGGCTCCTGAGGTCTCTTGGGCTCAGGCGTGTTCTTTCTTCCTTTCACAGCGAGGTGAGAAATACCTGGCATGGAAACAGAACAGAAGAAAAAGAAGAAGGTAAACACATCATCAAATCACTTGTTATCTCAACAAATCAAGTCTCACCCCCAATTAGATGAACTGATAGTTCACCGAAGACCATTTTCTTAAAAAAGAAGTTCAGTATTTCTGCTTTTCCCCCAAAAAGAACACAGCATGGTACAGGCAGCCTCTCCTCACCCCAAAGTTGAAGCCATTTCTGAGAGACTTCAGATGCAGTCTTAGCTGAGGCGCAAACGCCTCTACACAGGCCACTTGGCTTTTATGCAAAAGGAGGCAAGGACCAGCATGTTTTGCCATTCTCACACCTCACTGGGTTATGGAGAAGATCAAGAGGATCATTCTTGCAAAGCACACACAGTTCCCCAGAAGAAAGCCACTATGTAAACGCAAAGCATTATTGGTGGTCATAAGCCTGTTCCTGAGCTCTGGAGCCAGAATACAAATGCCAGCACCGGCGAGGCACCAATAATCAACTATCCCTGGAGCACCCAAACGTCTGCGTGCCCTACTGTGCTGAGGTTCAGGAGAGAAAAGGAACAGAAACGAAGGCGTCTCGCATCTCCAGGAAAAAGAAAGTGAAGGTGTCAAGCAGGAGGCTGAGAGGAAGAGTGTAAGGTGGCAGGAGGGCACATGCAGGAGCATGGTTATTTGGTGCACAGCTCCCTCAGACTGCTGGTTTGCAGCGTTTCGTGCACTCAATGTTTGCGACGCTGTGAAATTTTCCACTTGGCTGTCTGCCATTCCCACCCACTGAAGACAACACTTACACCCACAAAAGTGGCACACTGGGACCCTGCTGGAAAAGGACTGGATAACTGTTGTTTATTGGCTGTTGCTTTTAATGAAAAGACTTATTCATATCCTGATCATTAATATTTTCCACACCTGGATTTCTTGATTCAGCCACCCCCCCCCCAATCCCTCCCCCCACCCGCCCCTTTTTAAGGCTGACTGAGGAACAGCTTCTCCTGGAACAATACTATCAACTTATTTTACCCTGTGTACTTTTGAGAAGCACCCTTGAGGCACAGGAACTTCTATTAGTGGCTTTGGGGATGATGAGAAACAGAATTCAGGTGCTACACTAGAATCTCGTGTGCTTCCCAAATACACCACCCTCACAGGCAAGTCATGTTTTTCCTTTCAAAGTCACGAGCATGCACGGAAAAAACAGAGTTGTAGTATTAGCACTGTGGGTGTCATTCATAGCATTTCTGAGGAAGAAAAAGAGTGGTCCCTTCTCTCAAAAAAGGCAAGAATGAATAACAAATCTTAGATTTAAAATTGGTAAAACACTGACAAGCAGGCCTCAAAATAACTAAAAAAAAAAAAAATGGAGAGACAAAATTAGGACAGAAGAGAGAAAGGAGGTGTCTGCTACTCATATAATTAACCATCACTTTCATCATGAATACAGTTTACCAAGTGCTTTCTCATTAATTAAATCATTCACTTGATACAATTTTACTTGGTATTTGCAACATCCACTAGGCTCTGTGTTCAACTGGGGTATACATGGTAAACAAAGTAGCCAAGGACGCTGCACCCGAGGAGCTCACTGCCTCAAGACTGACAGACAGTAAAGCATCACACGAGCTTAGTAGATGTAGAAAATTTGGAAACTATACAGGCAATAAGAAGGAAAAATGAACATTGTGATTTGAAGTCACCATGGGGGTACCTCACTTAGAAAGAGGGTCTCAGGAAGGCTTGTCTTACAGAACTAGCATTCAAACAGGAAAGTCGAAGATGAGTAGGAGTTAGCCAGGCATCAGGTTTCCAGGTAGAGGAAACAGTCTGTGCATTATATGAACTAATCTAGTGATGTACAACTGTTTTCTGTTATTTCACTCTTTTTTATTTCGCCATTTCAACTGAGTCTCCTTGAAAAAGAAGTGAGTGTCACAACTGTTCTCCATACCTCGAAATAAGAGATGATTTCTGACTGCTAGGCCATCAGAGCAACACACACTTTCTCTGTGATTAATTTCTGTGAGAGGAACACACCTGACGCAGGTATTATTCTTGATGTGATGGCAAATAATGACCTCGCTCTCTAAGGCACCCCAAGCCACTCCAACATCACAGTGAAATAAAAGGAAGCTCTCAGTTGACACCTGTAAGCCACAGCTGAAATTAAGAAAACCCTTCGCCCAAAAGGACTGAAAACAGATCACGTTTTCTTAAGTACCTTGAATCAGGTACCAAATTTCTGGCTTCCCCTTGATTACGGTATTTTTATTTCTCTCTTGAACTTAAATAACTCTTATGTCCACCTTTAACAGTGTTCTGTCAACCGTCGCTCTTGGTTCTTGGTTCAGTGATCTGTTTATTTACCCACATGAGCCGCAAGCAAGGTACAAAGAAATGAAAAGCAATGGAAATGTTATGTTCATCTGGTGTTTTCTTCTTCCCGACCATCCCAGATCTGGCTCAACTTAATTCTTCCACTAAGGAAAATCACTAGTTTGCGTGCTTCGTCCTACAACATTAAAGCTGATCACCCAACAGGCTCATTCATGTTCTCCCCATAAATGAAGTAAGCCCGAAAGCCTGTCTGAAATGAATATACCGAACTTCTATTTGAGTCTCTTTCCATTTAAAATGCCCTAGATAAAATGTAATTTATCCTACAAGCTTCTCATACAAACAAAAATATTACCAATATTCCACATTCAAAGTCTCAGAATACAAACCTTCACTTTGACCTGGCAATTGTGACACACTCAGAAAGAAGAGAGAGAAAACAAGGAAAAGCACTTACTGAAGCCAGGCTGCCCAACGTCTTGCCATCGAACCCGGGAAATTACATCAGGCTGTCAGTTTCATCCTCTGCCTAGAGAAGAAAACGACACAATGCCAATTGCTCCTTTCCCTGACTGCCCACGGCACTTACAGTCTCCACCACACATTCTGACCCAAGGTTCCTTTCACTTCAGCACTTTGTTATACTGTCTCTTTATACTCCACTGGATTTATTTAAGTCTTGAAGGCTCAAACAGTTTCTAAGCTCCTTGACGAAAGAAACCTTGCCATGCCCTTCTTTTGTAACCTCCTAATGGCGTCTAGTGGAAGAGCCTGGATTTAAATTAAATGATCCATATCCAAAACCTGTTCTAGGACTTAACCCTTACTCCAAAAGAATCAGCAGTCTACAGCTACACTTTAAGCCCATTTCACCTTTCTCTGTCCTCCAGGGACTTGAAACTCTGATGATGCCTATCATCATCATGTGTCAGCCCTCCACAAACTTGAAAAACATTAAATTACAACTTAGCCTTTCTGTTCCGTTCTTCCAATCCATTACACTTTTAGTCATTAGTGGATTTTGAACAGTTGTCATCTCCTTTCAAGATTTACAAACTCTCCCACTTCCTCATCACCAGCAGCCTACATCCTTAGTTCTCGAAGCTTCTCAAAGCCACTATTAAGGAAACCTTCATGGCACGTGGAGGGGAGATGCAGACCTCTGAGGCAGTGATACTCAAACTCGACGCAGCAATCAGAAATAGCTGGAGAACTCCAGGGGCAGTGGCTCACGCCTGTAATCCCAGCATTTTTGGAGGCTAAGGCAGGAAGGGGGATTGAGCTCAGGAGCTCAAGGCTGCAGTGAACTATGATCACAAACTGCACCCCAGCCTGGGTGAAAGAACAAGATTCCGACTCAGAAAAAAAAAAAAAAAAAAAAAAAAAGGAAAAGAAACGGCTAGAGGGTCTTGTTAAACCAGAGAATGCTGGGACCCACCTGTAGAAATTCTGATTCAGTAGGCTGGGGGTGGGGTCAGAGAATTGTAGTTCTGACAAGCTCCCAGGTGATGCTGATACTGCTGATCAGGGACCACACATTTAATCACTTATCTGAGGTTAAATGTTACTGCCAATTACAGGGCCAGAGAGATGCTGAGGATCCTTTGAGTATATTTAATGACCATACGACCGCTACATTGAAAGCAATGATACTTGTCTATTTCAAAGAGGTGACAAATAACCCCCAAAAAATAAACCTCAAAACCCCAAAACCAAAAAACTTCACACAGTGTATTACCCAGGTCATGACGCCGCATGCAGTCTATCTACCTGGGCTCTGAATCTGCTCTCCTCCCACTGGCTCCAGATCTTGCTGGAGTCAATTCCGCCCCTGATTTCCCTTCCGTCTTTTTTCTCTCTACTGGAAACTTCTCATACGCCAAGCATATTCGGTCACTGCTCTTCGTAAAAGACCTTCTCCATACCCTAATATGATCCCAAATGGCTGTCACCGCTCTCCTGTTCACCAACAAACAGTTGTACTATCCATTCGATGCCAGCACTTCACCAACTACTTAAAGCGTAAAGCTTGATTTCTACCACTTTTCTCTCGGTTAGTAACTTTCCTCCTCCTCCAAAGGTCAGGAATGGTTTCCCACCTTCTAAGTGCAGTGACCTGTGCTGAGGCCTCCTCCTGACCTCTCTATCAACATCTGCCTAATACAGCTCACCAGTAATAGCTCCTTCCATTTTCTTTTCCTTTTGTTTAGTCCACTAGCACTTTTGCCTGATCAGTGTCTTTCTGGAATGACCCCTTCCCTTGGCTCGTATCTGGGCTGGGATGGCTTCACACATTGGCCCAGAAGGTGGATGTATGACCCGGGTCTGGACAATCACAGTACAGCATCCTTCCAGCATCAGTGACTGGCCTTAGGGGTAGGCATGTCCCCAAGGCAAGCCAATCAAAGGCCTCTCTCAGACCAACTAGAACTAAGAGGAGCAACACACTCTTTCCTAGTGGGACCACGGGAACATGATGCTACCAAGAACTAGTTTCTTTAATTACCTCTTGAAGAAAGGCCTCTGGAGAAGGAAGCTTCCCAGAAGACAGCAAAGCTACAAGACAGAAAATCTGAGTTCTAATGACAGTAAAGTCTCTTGGATTCAGCCATGCCAAAAGTTAAACTGGTCCCTGGATTTTTTTTTTTTTTTTTTTTTTGAGACAGAGTCTTG